CCCACATTCACCCAATGGACATCCAGATGGCCATTTTTCACTGTGCAGACAATCTTGCGAGGCAGTATATTTTGTCCAAACTTTCCATTTGTCAATTTGCACTCCCTCTTGTGGTGCCAAATCCCAACACGTCTCAGGTTGAATTTTCTCTCTGGTCTCTCAGACAAATTAGGAGAAGTTGGCAAAATGAAAGTAAATCACTACAGAACAAGAGCTACAGTCACAAGAATCAGCAGATGTGCCGTGTTGCCACCCCCATTGTGTCCTTCATTAGAGTTGGAAATAGCCTCTCAGCTTCCAAGTCTCAGATCATGAACTCTCTCCTCAGTAAACATAAACATGATGTGTTTTTTCACAGACACTGCAGAGGAAGCAGCAAAGACTGTCTCTTGATGGAAGGAGTGGTGGAGATCTGCTGGTTCTGTCCTGGGGGCCAAAGTGAGGACAGATTTGACAAGTGTGTGACCTTCACCAATCTTCATGGAGATGCCAAGGAACATAGACAACAACTCAGCTTCTTACAAGATGTCTCTTCTCTCATTGTGATCCTCATGTCAGCTTCTGATGACAATAAAGAAAATCAAAAACTTGTCAGACACCTCTGCAAGTCATCAAGACCTCTAATATGCTTGATTGATGACAAAGAAAAGGCCATAGCCAATAATTCGGGTAAAAGTATGAGAATTGGCATCAGGAATAGAAATGAGGCCGAATTAACAGAGGAGCTCACAAATGCCATCAAACATTTTCTAGAACTCTCTAATACTGCTTTCAGCTTAGAGGACTGTTCACAGATGGCTCAAAAACAAGGATTCCTTATTGATGAGGACCAGAAAGACTGCAAGGAAGCCAAAGAAAAGGCACAGACTATAATGGCCCTCCTGGAGGAATCCAAGTTATCTCAGACAAAAGAAAATTTATTACCTCTTCAGGGACAACTTTGGCACCTTTGGTGTAAGAAGGACAAAGAATTCTATCATCTGAGAGAAAAGGGGAATCGGAGCATTGAACAACACAAGAGTGAGATTGAGACAGATAAAAGAATAATTCGATGTCGGCAATTGGAAAAAGCCTTTCCTCTCAATGATTTAATGCGCTCTGTTCTTGAAGTTCTCCAAGAATATTCAGAAACTCATAACAAACTCTACTTTTTGCAGTGGCTAAGTCTGTTTTTTGACAACCTGACTACAGAACACCTAGAAAAGTTGCATGAAAAGCAAAGATCTTTGTGGTTAATGGCACAAAAAGAAAAACAAAAATCACAGAAGAGCAGCTCCCTGACACTCTGGCAGAAACAGATAGAAGCCATCTCTACTGAAATTCTTAACTGCACTTTAGGAACTGAGCACCTTCTCAGAGAAGTTGGACAGATCTATGAAGCTCTGGAAGAAATTTCCTCCTCTAGAGATAGCCTTTTTCTCTGCCTTCCTCAAATAGCTGCAGACCTGATGGTAGCTGGTGTTCCCATTGAGCTCA